CGAGCTCTAGAAGAAACGGAGAATGTCTCAGTCGTACGGAAGATGGACGGCTCCTTATTTATAGATCACGGTACCTAGAAGAAACGGAGAATGTCTAGGTACAACAGTAAATAATGAGTCCGATATGAAACGGTAAACGAGAGCGTCCGTAAAACTCACCTCAGTCGTACGGAAGATGGACGGCTGAGGGAAAGAGGAAAAACCGGACGAGAGCGAAAAACCGACGAGCCTACAACCCTAACCTAGAACAAATGCAAAGCGGGAACGATCGAGACGAGAGACGAGCGTACAAGCATAAGCAGTAACACGAGGCCGAGGCGAAGTAAGAATGAATATGAAATGAGAAGCCAAATACTCGGAAACTGAGACCAGAAGCCAGAACCCAAACCCGGTAAGCATGAGATGAAACATACACACAAACCCATGGTTCAAGACTCCCCCTGGTTCAACGAATGCCTAACGTCACGAACACCCATACGAAACATCAAATCTGCATGCAAATCCCGCGGCAGCCCCTTCGTCAATAAATCAGCCAAATTGTCCTTCGAAGGGACATGACGCATCTCGAGCTCCCCCTCACCAACACGCTCGCGAACATAGTGATAATGGACGTCGATGTGTTTGGCGCGGGTATGATGGAGGTAATTCTCCGAGAGGTCGTTCGCCCGTTCGTTGTCTCCATACAACACCATTGGCTGGGGAACCTCCAACCCCAGTTCCTTCATCAGAACCTTCACCCACATAGCGTTACGTGCCGTCTCCGAGGATGCAACATACTCGGCCTCCATTGTCGACGTCGAGACCGAACGCTGCTTCTGGGCCCTCCACGACACAGGACCACCAGCGAAAAGGATGACATACCCGCTACACGAGCGGCGACCGACCTCAGCGGCGAAGTTGGAGTCGAAATAGGTGATAACCTTCTCAGCATCGGGACACGAGCGGTCGAAGACGATCCCATGGTGTAAGGTGCCCTGAAGGTATCGAAGAGTATGCTTGAGCGCCTGACAATGGCGAAGACCCGGTGCAGCCGCGAACGAACCAAGGAGCTGAACAGTATAGGAGAGGTCGGGTCGTGTGGAGGTGGCAAGCCAGTTGAGGGATCCGATGATCTCGCGGTAAGGAAAGCTGGCAGCGGCCGCGCGTTCCGCATCGTCAACGTCCTCGACAAGACGACGGTAAGCGAAACCAGATGGAAGAGGAGTATGCTCGGGATTACACTTGGCCATACCATGGCGGTCGAGCAATCGTTCGATGAAGGATGGCTGCGACATACAGAGGATGTTCTTGGTGGTGTCGCGCTCGATTTTGATCCCCAGGAGATACTGAGGTTCGCCGTCTGGACCGCCAACATCCTTCACCTCAAACATCCCACCCAGCTCGACCTTCGCCCTCGCCGCCTCCGCCAATGAAGACGATATCCCTAGCGTGTCGTCGGTATGCGTCATCGTGACAGTGAATTCACCGTCACCAACCGACTTCGTCCGCACGCACGGGTCGCTATCGAATCGTCGCCAACCGTTCCCTACGTACGCCTCATCTAGCGTCTTCCACCACGCGTTAGCACCCTGCTTCGTCCCGTAGATGGCCTTCTTCAGCTTACACACCCAATCTTCCTTCCCAGGAACCTCAAAACCCCTCGGTTGCCGCATATACAACGCAGGTGCATCGGCTGGGGCGTTTAGGAATGCACTCTCGAAATCGACCTGCCAGAGTGCGTAGCCCCGAATAGTGGCGGTGGCGAGTCCCCAACGGATAACCTCCTGACGTACCACAGCCGCAGACGTCGCGAAATAATTCTCTCCGAACCTCTGAGAATCTCCCCGACCCACCAGCCTAGCCTTCCAGCCGATAATCTTTCCATCCCCATCCAGCTTCTCCGCAAACACCCACATCGTGCTCATATACCGCACACCCGGAGGAGGAGGCACCAACTCCCACACCTCGTACTTGCTCATCTTCGCCAACTCCTTCTCAATAGCCTCCTTCCAAATCTCCGGCTCTCGCATAGCCTCCTCCAGCGAACGAGGAAGAGGCCGTCCAGTGCGAACCGAGACGGCAGCGAAGGCTTGGTGTAAGACTTCACGAAGGTCTTCAGGAGTGACCAGCTCTTGCTCAGGACCGATCTGGACGAAACGGGCTGACGGACGTTTTGTATCGCGAGTCCATTCCTCCTTTTGACTCGAGGCAGCCTTTTCGCGCTCACTGTATTCCAAACTGCGAAGCTTGTTGGGAGTGGGAGTGGTGATGCGACCGGATCGACGAATAGGGAGAGGTTCCGAGGAGGACGTCGGGACAAGTGGAGTAGGAAGGGTATCCGCGACAAGGTCCTCGACCTCGACCTCTGAGTCAGACTCGGCCTTAGGAACCTGCGCGCCCACCGTAGGAGCCTGTGCAGCCGGGTAGATCGTTGCGGGGACCGGTTCGGAGTCGACTGATGAAGCAGGTACGGTTGTCGGACGGGACCATTGACCCAAGCCCTCGTCAAAGACCACATCGCGCGACTCGACAATTTTGTGTTGGGATGGGCAATAGAGACGGTAGCAGTCCCGGGACCGGTATCCGACAAGGATGCACTTCACGGTCTTGGGATCCAACTTCTTCCGAAGCTCATCCGGAATCTTCGCATAGGCGATTGATCCGTAGGCGCGAAGGTGTTCAACATGGGGACGACGATTGAAGATGATCTCGAATGGGGTGGTATGAGGATGGCGACGGTGAGGAACGATGTTGTTGAGCTGAACAGCAGTAGCGACGGCCTCTGCCCAGAGGTTGGTCGGAACACCGCCGTCGTGCATCATCGCCCGAGCATGGTCGAAGACGGTGCGATTAGCGCGTTCGGAGATACCGTTCTGGGAAGGCGAGTAAGGTGCGGTCGTCTCATGACGGATCCCTCGTTCCTTACAAACAACCTCGAACTCTCCCATGAACTCCATCCCCCCATCCGTCCTCACACACTTCACCTTCTTCCCCGTCGTCCGCTCGAACCATTCGAGGAATTCCGAGAATGCGGCAGCGGTCTCCACAGAACTCTTCCCAGCCAAGAAGGCTGCTTCGAGGAACTGAGAACAACCGTCAGTCATACCCATCACATATTCCTTCCCGCCAAGAGACCTCACCGATATGGGACCAGCCAAATCGATATGTATACGCTCCCCAACCTCCGTCTCTCGGACCACTTCCTCGTCGAAAGGTCGCCGAGACTGTCGACCCGCCATGCAACTCTCGCATACGATGTCTGTATCGTGATCCCGACCACCCTTGACCTCCATCCCCTCAACCACAGCTGGCGTCCGACGAAGCCCGTCCCATCCATTATGACCAAAACGACGGTGCCAAGTCTCGAAGGAGACCGGCTTCGACTGCGACGCACTAAGCGCATGAAGTTCCGGTTCGCGAGGCGCGAGCTTCAGGCGTTCGGAAACGAGCTCTTGGGCAGTTGGTCGGAGGAGAGTGAAGACGTACATGTCAACCCCCTCGAGAGGCTGACTTCGAAGAATGACGTAGCCGTCGGGAGACCAGATAGTGTTGATCCCCCGATGTGTCCGGATATCGCATCCCTCACGGTCGAATTGGAGAGTCGAAATGAGATTTTGGTGCATAGTCGGGGCGTGAAGAGCGAAGAAGGAGCGGACGACACGGCGATTATCGAGAACGATAGCCTTGACGACAAGACCTTGTCCAGCAACGGGGAAAAAGTGACCGGCACCCGTCGCGGATAGGGAAAGCGGCTGGTACGTGACGAAGTCGCCACGATCACGGAAATAATGGTGAGAAGCCCCGGAATCACTGTAGGTGAGGACAGGAGTGGAGGGCGACGGAGGAGACGCCGAAGCGGCCAAAGCAACGGATGTAGCGCGCTCACCAATGGTCAGGGTAGCCATGAATGCGACCCCTGGACCAACCGCCAGCATCCCTGTACCGCCACTCGAATGCGATCCCGCCGAGTTCCCACCACCACCAGCTGCACCTCCCCCTGAACCTCCTGATCCACCACTTCCTCCGGGAGAACGACGGGCCCACGCGGGCCGCTGACCTTCCTTCCCTCCCCCACGAGACCAGCAGTTCGCCTTTGTATGGCCAGTCTTCGAGCAGTTCTCGCATGTCGGCCTGTTGGACGACCGTTCGGCAGCGAGAGCTTGGGCCGGAGCTGGAGAAGCAGCGGAAGATGGAGAGAGATTCGAGTGGGCGGAGACATGGTGAAGAGCGGAGGTGAGAACAGCCTCGGCGATGTTGGAGTGCTGACAAGTGTACAGCGTGCCGATGAACACTCCGAGCGGTCCGATTGGCGAGAACGTATGAACGACAAGTCGAGTGAACTCAGCGTCGGTGATACCGCCGCCAGCGTTGTTGGCTACCCGTAAGAACTCTCGGGCGCGAGCGAAATGGTCCGCGATGGGAATGCCAGGCTCCCAGTACGTAGTCTGGATCTTCATACGCATGTCGGCGACGAGCGTCGGATTGGTGACCTCAAACATCGATCGAAGGGTCGACCATATCTCCACGACCGGCATGGACTCCGAGATCCCAAACGACGCAGGGTCGACAACGTTGAGAATGATGTGGGCGCGGGCAAGGTTCTCACCGCGCGACCATTCAGCCTCAGAGGACGCGTAGGTGACCGTAGGGAGAACGGTCGCAGGAGGAGGTAACGGTGCGTAGAGCGGTAGGGTACTGACGAGCTGTGAGGGAAGAGCTGACGACGTGGCAGAAAGCGTAGGCGCCTGAGACTGAGCCGGTGGCGGAGACGCCAAAGGGGGCAGTGTAGTACCGTAAAAATAGCCAATGAGACCACGAACTCCGGCCGCCGTGAGAATCTGAGTCCTCCAGGAGTTCCAAACTTTCCCATCTCGGGTGAGATGGTTCGAAGAAGACAGAATCGTCACTTCGAACTTGTTTTGGTCGGGGTAGATGCTACCCATTTTAGGCGAATATAAATCTTTCTCTTAACGATGGCGTTCTGATATTTCTTCTTGATGGCAGCGTGCGTCAACAATGGCCCATAACCTGATGAACGGCGAGCTCTAGAAGAAACGGAGAATGTCTCAGTCGTACGGAAGATGGACGGCTCCTTATTTATAGATCACGGTACCTAGAAGAAACGGAGAATGTCTAGGTACAACAGTAAATAATGAGTCCGATATGAAACGGTAAACGAGAGCGTCCGTAAAACTCACCTCAGTCGTACGGAAGATGGACGGCTGAGGGAAAGAGGAAAAACCGGACGAGAGCGAAAAACCGACGAGCCTACAACCCTAACCTAGAACAAATGCAAAGCGGGAACGATCGAGACGAGAGACGAGCGTACAAGCATAAGCAGTAACACGAGGCCGAGGCGAAGTAAGAATGAATATGAAATGAGAAGCCAAATACTCGGAAACTGAGACCAGAAGCCAGAACCCAAACCGGTAGCATGAGATGAAACATACACACAAACCCATGGTT